AGACGAAAAAGGCTAGAAGTGGCGAGCAACGAATGCAGAAGTGAATAGAATAAAAAAATTCGATGAAGTATAAAATTAGAACCACCTGTAAATTTTTGCAACTCGGCGCGATTCCGGCTCCAAAGCCATGAAAATACTTTAAGCCAACGAGTGAGACGCTGAGGCCGTTTTTATTTCCATGTTTTGTGGGAATGCGCAGCTTACGAGGGAGATTGCAGAAGCGGCACAGTTGCTCTTGAGTTAGCTCTCGTCATCATCTTCGGGTCCTATTTTGCAGCATCTCCGATATTATCCGCATCGGGAAATTGCGATTCATCACATGAATTTTGAAGCGCAACCATTAGGTCGGTGGGAGAGTTCTGTCACTTTTTCGAGCTCAAAATACTTGTCCATTACCTGAAGAGGGGTGAACGGTAATGTGAGCACTTATACATCAAAGAGTGGTCTTTCTATTAGTACCACTCGCTTGATTCCTGCTTCTTCTTCTTCTGCAATATGGACAAGAATGTTATCCGCTACCATCGCCACCGACCCCTCCAAATGCTTCTGATAGTGCAGCGCACTTCCAAAAAAGTTCTAGCCGTTCCTCATGCAATAGAGCTGGACGGCTCTCCCACATAGAGCTGGACGGCTCTCCCTCTTGGTGTAGCACAGACATTGCTCCTTCTAACTGCGAGTTGCCTCCCGTAATCAATCATTACTGGACGAGAAATTACGAGAAAACCTCGAAAAGTCTAAGCCAAGATTGAGATGATGTCCAACTTTGTATCGCGCCTCCCTGCATTGTGAAGCGATGGCATCCATGAGATGCACAAAAAAAGCAAGGACTTCGTAGTAACAGTGCTGCACAGTAATCTTACAGCCTCTCTGTAAAAAGAAAGCCCAGTTTGAAAAAAAGTGAGAACCTTTTAACAGTTTTGCACAATCGGTGGTCTTGAGCGGTTGGATATCCATCTCTCTTTCGACCTTGCTACACTTATATTCTGTCACAAGTTTCACAGTATAGACTGCTATTATTCTAAACGGATTCTATCTGCTCACATGGAAGAAATCTTGAACTTGGAGAAGAGGGAAGTGCTCCTCCCTATATCAAATTGATTCTTATGGTGCTGGTTGAAACCAAGAAAGAAACAGCCGAGCTAAATCGTCGATGCAACGCATTACTCGCAGAAAATTTAGCCCTCAGAGATGAAAACAAACTCTCAAGCATCAAGTGGAAACACAACGAAATGTCTTGAATCAGGTTCCGGTCCACCACAAGCTGAAGATCCCAAATCCGGTTTACAGAAGCTGACCTTAATAGATCCATAGTTATTGCTGGTGTTCCGGAAAGCATTTCTCCCAATTCAGTTGACCGTGCTCACCATGATGTTCAATGTGTTTCGTCTCTTTTGAACTTCTTGGGTATAGGATGCATTCCCATTACAGTTTATAGAATGGGCGTCAAAAATTCCCGCCAACTGCCAAAAGTAGTCCTCCCACCATCTACAAGATTTCAGAAAGAAACATTACGCAGGGCACCAGACCTGAAGCACTTTCCCATACATATCCGCCAGTCTCTGTCCAAAGAGAAAAGAAATCGCCAGCAAGAAGCTCGGTTGTTCAATAACAACCGCTCTATTCGATCAAGTGCATATACTGGCAACCTCACCTGACCGAAATAGTCTCACAGCAAATGAAATACAGCAAGTTAATTCATCTGATAGGAGTCATATCACATCTACTACAGATATTGCTATGAATCCAAGTTCACAGGGAAACCTTTAACTCCTCCCCGGTTGCATATAGGCTTAAGTGTTTATTAGCTAATGTTAGATCAGTTGTTAAAAACGGTGACTCTCTTGTATTCACGGCACTTCGCTGCAATTACGACCTTATTTTCATTACTGAAACATGGCTTAATTCTATGCACAGTACAATTCACGTGGCATCTTCTAATTAGAGTTTTATTACGTTGTGACAGGTACAAAAAGCATGGAGGCGGAATACTTCTCCTTATACGCAATATACTTAGTTACATTGCTGTTCTAGATGGGTATGAAATTTTAGGCGTTGACATCATTTTTTATGACGCCAAAATAAGGTTTGTTGTTGTGTACAGATCCCCTTCTTGTTCTGTAGAACATAATGAACAACTCTCAACATAATTAGTGATTTGTCTACATGTGAGTACTCAACAGTGATTCTTGGTGATTTGAATTATCCTGAGATTGACTGGGATAACTACACGGTGGCTCGTTCTTCTCCCGGCAAAACTTTCATGAATTTTGTGCAATCTCATAGTTTTAAACAGCACGTAACATTGCCTACAAGAGAACACAATATTCTTGACCTGATTTTAGCCAATGACTCAAATCTGGTGAGTAATGTAATAGTTGGTCCTCCCATTGGTAATAGTGACCATAGTAGTGTATCCTTTATTATTTCGAGTTCATACACGGAACAGGAATCGATGGTTTATAGAGACTTCTCAAATGTAACTTTTCTGGATTACAAGAATATCTTTCCTCTATTGATTGGATTAATTCTTTTGAGTCTTTGTCTGCGGTGAACAAGAAACACGAAATGTTTCTAGGTATAATCCATCATGCAATTGATTTACGTTCCAGTAAAGCGAACTTGTAGTTCTCGTCCATTCCTTCCTCGCTATCTGGAAAATATGGACAACCATCGTATTTGAAAAAAGCAAGAGCCCTCAAGAACACCACAAACAAAATTGCTCCCTTACAGTTACACCGCCCTGCGGTCCGTGGGCAACCCCTGGCTCACAAATCGCTTTATGGCATTTCCCAGTAGTGGACAACATCCAATTCAAAGAAAACAATATGAAAAACAACAAAGACACGAACGAAAAACACTTAAAAAATCAAAAACTTGGCGTCCGAATTTGGGGTTACGTGCAGTGTGCAGCTTTTAGTGCATGTCGAGCTTTTGCACCACGAAAATTGGGTCACTCGTGATTTTTACGCGTTTTACCTTGCGAGATGGGTTGGAGTTGACTGTATGTGCTCCCAATGAATAAAATGTAATAAAGGAGAGCAGAATTATTTATGGGCACGAGCGCGGTCAGCAAAAAGGACATGCAATTCCGATTAATGCCCGCCGTCCCAACAAAGAACAACTGAGCTCTCCGTCAGAGGGCAGCTAGCAAGTGGGGCGGTCCAACTGGGCGGGCGTTAGAACTAGAACTTTGAGCGGCTGTAGCTCGCTCCTCGCTCACTGTGGAGTCGCGAGAGTGGGACAGTATCTAGCTTGGGGGCTGAACTACCTGCACAAGGAAGGACGCATGTACTACTTGAGCGCGGGGGCTGTTTTAATGCTGAGTGATTTCGACTATGCCTGTCGGAAATTTGGTTTGCACCTGAATCTTACGAAAACTGTATCCACGAAGAACGCAATGGTTCTGGTGCCCCATTCTCGCTCAACTTGATCGCGCTAAATGCTCTTGTCATGTGTGCCCGGCTAAGAATGATGATTAAGATGAATGGCTTGGAACCAGAACTGATCATCAGCAAGAAAAACCCTGTGGCTGGGGAAGCGTTTAAGAACATCGAGAAAGTGGAGCAGAAGATGAGGTTCTCGACTCCGCCCACACTTTTTCATTTCCACACTCCTTTCTGCCCTGAATGACGTCTCAAAGACTGGAACACTTTTCCGGGTGCAGGATGAACAAGCGGTCAGCATTCAGCCATGACCACACGTTTATCCTGCATCCATCGTCGAAAGCGCGATACTGTCGCTGCACGTAAGTGAGAGAGGGAATCAAGAGCTCCGCATTCCATTCGGCGATTGGAGATCATGGACGCAAACGCAACTGCTTGCCAAGGTTTCAAAGATCAGCTGGGCTGGGCATGTCATCCCGGCCCACCTGATCTTTGAAACCGCGGAACCACAGTCATGACCGCCGAGGATACCAAGAGACATGCATGCATGGACCCGCATACGCGACAGTCAGACTCAGTCATGAACTCGCTCTGAACGAATGGTATGATGCACGATGCTCACCGCATCCTTCAAGCGCATTTGTTGCAGGGTCGAAAGGAGACTGGCGTCGCTTGAGCAATTAGATGATCAACGGGAGCACAGGAATAGAAGTGATAGATTTTCTGATTAGGTACTCCTTGTTCGAGTAACTATGACTTTCTTAAATGCGGAGTATTTGTGGAACAGAACAGAACATCAGGTTAATGATTTTGTGATCGCCCTAAGCCATTGTGGATCTCCTCCTGATCGAAAAGTACCCGATGTGGATTTGATGGGGTGATTGAAAAACAGGCGCGAGCTTTCATAGTTTAAAGTTAAACAACCATAACGTTATCAAAACCATTTATTCGCAAGCTAATAACTATTCGATTAATTCAACTGGAAAGCAGAATTGCTCAGCTATAAAAGCATTGAACTTTTTCTGAAGATCGGCTAGTCATGGGGTGGATTTTCGGTTTGAGGTGGATTTATGATGGTGATTAAGTAATTCTGCATCACTCAAGAGCTCGAAACGCTTTCATATCATCGCAAGGAACTCTTTAAGAGCTTTAGTATGCCTTCGAGGCGCATCGTCTTGTTGAACTGGGAGAGGTAATAGTTTTCTCATCATGGATTGGTCTCTCCTCCACTGCGAGCACTACGCATTCTGTTCCTACATGGTATGGTACCTATCTTCCCTGTCTTTCTTTCTCTTGCTCTCGATTTCTTACTCAGCCCTGCCCCAACGACCTTCCCCAATGGTATCCTCCCAACTCAACCCTTACAGAGCTCAAAATTTTCGTGATTATCGGGGTGAAACCGCACAATCAATCAAATAAAAAGATATTCTGAGGTTTGTGATGTCGTGCGGGACAACAGCAGAAAAGAAGTTTTTACTTTTATCAAAAACTTCAATCATAAGGATGATATGTTTGCAATGATTTGTTCGTCTGAAACCATTACTCTGACAGGTATGCATACATAACGATAGCTATATAAGGTCAACCAATTTTAGCGAGCGTCACCTCACAAGAGAAATGGTCCACATAAAATCTGCTGCTATCATAACGCTTCTGTGTCTGCTGCTTTTCAGGTATGTGCCCTCCTCTCCCAAATATCCTATTTTCGTGAGCGGCTTCGATTGTGTTTTCTGATTGATTTGGTTCTTTTTCCTTCAAAGGTCTCCTTCCACAGAATCCTCGTTACGATATCAGTCTATTGAATCCAAAGTATGGTTGGACAATATATAATTTTCACTAAGAGCCCACGTTGGCGCTGTATGTGTTACCAAGGCTGCCCTTCCGGTACCGTACTGTCAAGCACTTCTGAAGAGCAACAATACGTTCAGAAACTATCTGAAGTGTGGGGCGCTCCAGAGAAATATTATGGCTGGTAATAGCGCCGCTAACCAAGGAGATAACCCGAAGGTCGGCACGAAAGGAGCACAGCGGGAGCGAGAGCGTGAAGCCTCAAAAAAAAGTTTGACGCTTCAACTTTGCCCTTTTCGTAGTTTAAGCATTCCTAAGCTTCTTCCACAATTGCTTTTCCATCCCATTATATATCCGGATTAATCTTTTGACTTTGATAGATTCGGCTTCCACAAGCACATGTCAACCTGATAATGCATACACGTGAAGTAACACGTAGACAGCTTCAAATTGATTTCATAAATTCAATAACAACCTAAGAATGAAAATGATTTTTTAAGTGGACCATCGAGAGCGAAGGTACGACAAAATTCGGGTTCTATCACGGTGTATGAAGGAGAGAACACAAACGTAGAGTAAGTATTATAAGATATGTACTTGACATATGCAAGAATATCAGAAACAACTGCAAACAAACGCGTTCCTGTTTAGACGTCTGAAAATGTTTAACCCTTGAGTGATTTTTCTAAATAGATTCACATTTTCTGAGCGGATTTTCTATGACGCAACGTCCAGTGAAGCTTCGGCTTCTGCATGACCTGTTTCAGTGAGATGATAATGTCTTCTTAACTTACTAATCCTTGCCTGTACTTTCAGTGTGAAGCCTCCTGTTTCACCAATTCCCATGTCAGCTGCCGGGGAAACCAAGAGGTATTTCAAAAGAACTAGAAAGGAACTTCCAAGCTTCGGAAGAAGAGCCGACAGAGAGGGGAGGAGATTCAAGAGGAGAATTCGGTTGAAGCCCTTTTGGAAAGTATTTGGAAAATAGGAAGGCATGTGTTACACGCTTCTATTCGTTTATACTGAGTAAAGCCATTCCAAATCTCTTATGTTTATTTGAGCACACTACTTGCTAAGGTAAAGCACAGACCTGTTCGAAATTAAAGTAAGCGTCTACAGTAGATGTGAGGAGTACCACGGACTGGGTTTATAGGTGCACTCCTAGAGCCATTCTGCGCGCCAAGGGTTTTGGATTGCATCGTTTATACCGGCGTAACATTCGACACAATCCTCTTGGGAGCCTAGCAGCCTCTCGACTACAGGCAATGAATACCACCCGATCACTCGGAATTAGAGCAGAACCTGGTTTGTTCAGGCACTATTTCTTTCCTGAACTCGGAAGTCATTCGGGTCTCTGAAGAAAGTGATCACCTTGAATCGCTAGGATGCCAATTACGCGGTCCTCGGTTACTGGAATTGCCTATTTACCGTCTAAACGATCAATACCATGCAGTAATACTGTGCATAAACAATAACACCAGAAAAATTCTCACTGTATGCTCATTTCAATCTCTACCATCTACCATACATCATCCGTGAAAGCGACGTATCTGGGGTCCTAGAGCTTTTCACTATGATGACTGTAAGGGCAGAATCATTGAAATGCGTTACGGACTGTATCGACTCTGTCCCATATGTTGCACAGATGCTATCCCCGACTATCAAAGCGACAGATTGCCAGGAACTTGCACATGAGCGTATAACCCTGGGCATTAAGTGGCTGCTTCTGGCTCACTTGTTGTCCTGAGCTTGACAGCGATACTCGAGGGTCCTCCCTACACGGATATGAAGGCAGTGGCGGGAGTGTGCAGGCGCTCTTGATGCAGAGTCTGGGGCTGCCCTTCGTCCACTAACTCTTCAAGTACGAAAGCAAAAACGGTTGCTGAAAAAGCGGCTGGCGCCGAGCCAACGCAGCCCCGCTGATACGCCCAATCTTCTGCAGCGAAAACGACTGTACAGGGAGGGGGCAAAAAAAGTCACTTCGACCGAGTCACATATCAGCAAAGTTTTCGCAGCCCAGAGAGAAGACGTGGATACGAGTACCAGGGCGGAAGATACCCAAGATGTTCCTCGATAAGCAGGAGCTGGCCCATCACCTTCATGTACACCAAAATATGAAGTCATCTCCAGTCGCAGCCTGACTGGAGAAGACCTTTGGAATTCATGTCACCTCCAAACAGCTGCGAAACTTCTAGTATGGAGTCACCCATGGATAGCTACCTGGAGACCAGTACTCTCGATCTGGATGACCTCCAACATCGAGCAGCTCCGACAACGTCGCTACGGTCTAGGACATCATCTTCACGGCAGTCGCCAAGGCGCGGGTTGATGGTATGGACCGGACGCACCTGGAATGGAAAGACCAATATTTTCTTCGTGGACCCCGGGCTGAAGCTGAGCGCTGGCGGTTACATCGACCAACTCAAGAAGAATATCTTCCCCACATGTCGTCGCCCGTACCTTCTTGGAAACTTTGTACTGCTACAGCATTGGGTGCCACCACATGGAATCGAAGGGCGTTGGAGAAACTCTCGCGAATGGAAGGGGGCTGAGTACCTAAAGAAGATGGAATATCCAAGTAGGTCACCTGACTAAACCCCCCTCAATTTACCCGGTTCGGGCGGAGTTTAACAGGGTGGTCTACGGTGGCGGAGAAATCGACTATCTCGCTGATCTGAGGGACCACATCGCGGTTGCGTGCCAGAATCCCTCGATGGCGCTCCTCCAGAAGGCTGTGGCGGAGTGTCATAATAGTATTTAATATGCTCTTTAATATGGTGGTAGAAATGTCCGATCAGAGTTTATAAAGTGTAACTTATAGCGCCTCGAAAGTCAATGAAGCAAAGTGACTTTTTTTGCCCCCCCCCTGTATATTAGACATTAACAGGGACCGTGTCAAGAAGCGTAAGAATGAGCCCCGCTGCATTTTCTACCAGTAAGGATCCTGTGGTCGATACAGGAAGAAAACAACCAGTGACAGAGAACGTCGCAGCTAGGCACATTCCATGCTTCCTCACACCCCTCGACTCCATGCTTCCTGACACCGCCTCGACTACGACGATATCAACTGAAGGTCGGGACAACGCAGGCAATCGCGATAATTTAGCCAAAGATAATCGATGTTATGCCAGCAAACAATCGTTTATCTACTACCAGATGGACGATTGCGGACGGTAGAGGGCTCGATTGGACTGGCCGGGAGCGAAACAGGATTTTCACCTCCGCACCGGTAATCTAGTCACTTGCTAACTACACCACCTCTGTTCCCTCCAATGTACTGTAATTTAAAAACATGGCCTTCTTTTCCGAGCAGTTCTTCTTCAAGAATTACCTTCAAGGGCATTATATGTATGATTCCATAAGTTACGGTAGGAGAAAGAAATTGAAATTCTTTTATTCACAGGGATCGAGTGGTAATGTGACAATTTTCGAATCGTTAACACCGACCGCCTCATAGAAAACTCACATTCACTTTCCAGTGAACAAAACAAAATACCTGTCAGAAGAGATCATCTAAGCTGATCGTTGAGGATGAATAATGCTTAAGGGGTTTAGAAGGATATTAGAGTGATTCCCTTCAATCGAATAAAACCTTTCAAATCAAATGAGCACAGAAGTTTTTATGTACAATCAGACACTGCAGCAGAGGTGAAGATTGCAATTCGGGTCACATCTTGTCGGGGTAAGAAAGCTACGATGAGTTAATCTGTTATAGAGCAGCTAATTCAGAGAGCAGATCAGCACCGCACTGCGGGAAACCCAAGGAAAGGTTCCACCGGGTCATTTTCGTACAATTTATGATGCCTTCTAGCATTCACTAGAAAACGGCCAGAAGTTTCAGTTATAATGATCGAGAATAGTTTAAACTCGGCTTTCAGTTGATACTGTTGGGGAAAGATTAGGAAGTTATGTTGTATTAAAGTCATAAGCAATGAATTTTGTACATAACACACGTACTTCAATAGTTACATAGAAATACAAGGACCGTTCAAAGTATTCTCGGAATCGGAGTAATTTAGCAGTGAAAGAGAAATTATTTCAGAAGGTTGTGATAGATAGTGCCACCAGTATATTAGCTGAAAAATGTGGTAATCATAGTATTCTGAATGATCACCCTCCTCTTCACTGTAGGAGGCTTATTGTGGAATTCGACCACTCCTTAAGCACATGGATGTTGTACGAAAAAAATAGACATTGAAAGAACTCATTCTTGGTCTAGAATCTTGCAGCCAAATTGTACGATCACTGGCGATGCCACCCTATTCATGAGGAGGTGGATTCACACGTCAACTGTACCGCTGTAGAATGTGCGTGGGAATGGACCTGGAGGACAATATTAGCTGGAGATGCTTACTGTCTCCGCTAATCATTCAATATACGATGGACACGCAACACGGGGCAAAACGCCTGATCACTGACACAAGCATCAGTTGTCTGCGTCCTGTTTTATTCTCTCGTCTTGCTCGCCCCGTGCGGTATGGTGTCGCTTCCGTCTGTGCGGGCGCCGCGAGGGCTGCGGTGGATCTCCGGGTGATCGTGTGTTAACGCCTGTAGTGGCTCGCCCCCGTTTGGAGAGGCCCGTCCCGGTGCTCTCTGGGCATGGCTTCCTCTGTGGCCCCGTTATTAGTTTTTGTTTGTTTTTGTGTCGTATATCTTCAATACGTACATGCGAGAATAACATTGAACGCCCCTCAATTAATTTTGCGTTGTTCTGCTAGAGAGAATTAACATCTGAGTGACGGAGAGGATTTCGAGCGAGCTAAAGACAACATATAAATGGTGAAATTAGATGAAGTTGTATGTCTTTTCATTCAGTATATTGCGACTAAGTCGTAGATTGGGTGGTATATTGTTGAATCTTTGTAGTCGGAAACGCAGTTTGTTGTGAGTAGAATTGTTCCACCAGGTATAAAGTGTTGGGAGTTTGGGCTGAAGAGAGATGTGTGTATATTTGCTCATTTAGATGATGTAGCGCGTGTGCTAATGAGTGAGTTTGGGTCCTCCGGTGCGTTTGTTTCATCGTGTGAGGGGAGGTGTTGAGTGTAGGAGAGGTGTGCGAGACACTTCAGTGCTTTGAGAGTTCTCCTTTGGATGTTGTTTATTGTTAGATATTAAAATATGACAATTTTGGTGCAGTGGATTTGTGCATCTCTCTGTGTGGAGTAGAGCAGAGCCAGTGTGTACGTCTGGCAGATTGCTTACTGTCTCCGGTATACTCGTCATTTTATATATCTATGGATCAGAGCAGAGCACGTTGTGCTGGGCCTCTGAGGTTTCGGGCTTCTCTTATGGTCAAACAGCTCGCTACTCACTCGACACAGCACTGCAAGTTGTTTCTGCGGTCTGATTGCCTGGCGTGTGTCATTTGTGCAGTGTCGTTCATTGCTCACGGGCGTGTATCGCGATTTTGTTATGGCAGTGTGCAAACTTTGTGCGGATATTTTTCGTGCTCCGATTGGCCTCAAGGACGATATTCTAAGGCAGCGGACTTGTGGCGTAATAAGTGTGTGCTAGTGTAGGCACAAACACCGTATGATGGGCTGAGTGTGGGGCCTCGAGCACCGTGAGGCAGTATGTTGTGAGAACATGTCAGGGAGAACGATCTTGGGAAGAAAACGTATGCACTCTCGAGCATACGTAGTCCTAGTTCAGCCGTTTCATTCGGATATTCTGTAGTGTGGATATAAGGATCCTGTATATATATATATATATTCTTCTGGCACTTGCGGAACTTGTACACTTGCTTACATGGAAATTAGAATGTGGCAGGTTAGCGCTGTAGGTATTTATATAGGTGTGTGAGGTTTGCGCGATCGAGGGAGTGGAGAGGAGGTGGTGCGTGTTCTATTTGTTTTTCTGTCGGTGGTTTGCGTATTAGGATCGATGGTTGAATATCAGGTGTTGTCAGAGTTTCTTTTATGGTTGATTATTGTTGCAGAATGTGGTGTTTTGAGCTGGGTTCGGGTTTTGGACGTTGGATTGTGGACT